TGGCATGCATTCATGCCAGGCTAACCTACCAGATTTGTGGTTTGACCTGCCTCCTATCCGGGACTGATTTTGAAGTGGTATGATAAATTCCCCTCAAAGTAAATGTATCTCTCTATACATAAGGTTAGGCACATCAATAGCAGGAGGAGGAGCCCTATAGATCTGGATTTTATTCCATTGGCAGGGCTGGCACTATCTTTAAATGTACCCATGGGCCCACACAGATAAATTAGGGTATATTTATCGGCCAGTGGAAGATCAAAGAGATCTCCCTCACTGGCCTCTTGTACCAACTGTAGAGTAGAATTGAGATCCATGGGAGCATCTGATCTCTCCCTCTGTTCGGTGCCAACCTGGTAAATGGCTAATGCAAGCTCTGGGCAATTCAGACCATTGCCATGGAAACAGTCTGATACTATGAGACTGTACCACGTGAAAGATATTACATGAGGAAGACACTCTCAGAAGAGGAAGAGATCAGAGACTCTCCACACTGGACTACCAAGAACAGGCAAGGTAAACACTCAACAGGCAACCATAGAGGGATGGGAATTAAACTTCTTTTAATTTTTTTAATTTATTTATTTTTTAATATGGGCTGCTGCATATAGGCAGTCAATCACAAGCGCACAAACACACACGGTATCCCTAGCACACACTCACACTGTATCCCCAGCAAAAACAAACTAAATCCCCTACACACACTACATCCCCACCCACACAATGTATCCTCTGTACAAACCGTACAGCCTCTATATATACACACACACACTATTCCTACAGCTCTTAGTCACACATACTACACCACAAACACAAAACAAACAAATCTATTTATCACAAACCATCCCCTTAATACAATCCCACAAGCAACCTCACTATACTGTTCCCTGCACCCGTCCCATTTTGTCCTCTGGTATCCCATTTAAGGAGTCACCAGAGACAAGCCACCAGCAATTGTGAGGTTTATTACAGTGGAACTCAGTGATACTGGCATACAAAAAATAGAATTTAATAGCCATGAAGCTCTGTGATAGACTGTTACAAACGTTATGTTAAGAGTTTGTACTTGTCTGTGTGTACCTGTCTGTGTCTGCCTGACTGTGCCTGTGTGTTCCTATCAGTTCCTGTTTGTGTCTCCATATGCTTATCTTTGTATGTGTTTGCCTATCTACCCCTTTCTGTGTATGTATGTGTCAGTGCCTGTCTTTGAGTCTGTGCCTGTGTGTGATTGTGCATGTCTGTTTATATATCTGTATGTGTATCTGAGTGTGTGTCTGTAAGTAACAGTGACTGTGTAAAATGGTGGAATTGGGAAGAGGCACGGCTGGGGTCCAGAGAGGGACAAAGCGTGGTGTTTTAGGAAAGGCATTTTTTGTTTTGTTTTTTACAGTAGCAACGCCCTTGCATTAGGCCACAAGATCCCTAGCCTAGTTTCAAAATGTGTGCATTTTGGAAAGAATTCATTTTATCTTCCTTTCCACTTCCAAGTAAAACAGACTGCTTCCCTGGGGAAATATACAGAACTGGGACACTGGCATTCACATAACCAAGGAGATGGATTGGTGTGCCAATGAGAGCAAGGTTATTCCCATTAACACTTTAGCGGTGACAGATGCTACTAAATAAGTTTAGGTATTTCAAAATGTTAAAATGATCAAAAAAAGAGCACAAATCTCAGATTAGCCAAATGACATATTTGCTAATGAAGTAACAGAATAGATATTTCAAGTATTGTCAAAGGATTAATGCTAATTCTTTGATACTCCAAAATGGCAAGAATATTTTCTTCTGAATCTGCACGAATAGATCCTTGAAGGGTGAACTCTTTGGATTTGTAAAGGTCTATTGTTTCCTGACTCCCAATGTAATTATGTTTCAAGGTCTCTGTCAGTCTCAGCTGCACTACCTTTACTGGAAACCTGGTGGATGGATCTATTAACCTATGTTAAATTGCGGTTTGCTTATATTTCTGTTGAAACAGTGCATAACACGATGCATAGACTCAAACCATAGACTAACCTCAAGATTGATTCAAGACTGTCCAATTTATTTAAAAGGGAAAGCAGATTTTCTGGTTATTCTTTCATAAGATTTACTTAATCATCAACAATGCGATTACTGATATTACCTATAATCATAACAATCTGGTCTCTGTGGACTTCTAATGGATAATCGGACTCAGAAACGGGCATAGTGGGCCCACCTGGGACTCATGCTATGGCTGTGGGGAGGACTTCCTTGTGACATTAGAGAGATCAATAGTGTCCCCCTTCACTTGCTCGAATGACTTTACTGGTCTGATATCTATTATGTGCAGCTCACTTTAAGAGCTTCCTTGCTGTTCCCTGGTGCTTTCTTATTATGTTATTATCTTTTTATTTTTATAAATATATTTTGTTTAATATCTTATACGGATAAATTGAATCAGTGTACAGTGATCAGAACAGGCAATCTAACTAAGAAAGCGTTATTTGAATTTGGATACAGAGTCTATTTTCAATATATGACCAGCCTTGGGGAAGGTTAGAGTAGCTAATTTAATTCTATTAATATATACTGCTTCTACCAACACTATCAACCTCCCCCCCCCCACATGAACACACTGTAACTACACATACTGCCAGCCGCACTGTACACACACACACACACACACACACACACACACTCTCTACAGAGACACACATGCTGACACACATACACAAAAATACATATACTAACAGACAAGGCAGCCATCAGAAATTGTGAGGCCGTTAACACAGCACAAAGCCTGGGGGCCAGCCCACAGGGCCCATCCCCACAATTTGTGTTTGAATGTAAGCATGTTTTTGTAAGAAATATGTGTGTGAATCTTGGTGTTTGAATGCAGGCCTGAATTTGTGTGTAGTGTATACATGGACACGCATACACACACACACACACACACATACACACAGTTACACACACACTGACACAAAAGGACACACATATACACACACTGATACACATGCTGATACAGAGATACACATACTGACACACAGACATACATACTGAGACCTACACACACATACAAACATACTGACACATACTGAAACGCAGACAGACATACTGATACACACACACATACTGACACAGACAAAGAGACACATATACAGACACACACGCAGCTCTTTTTTCGGCCACCCTCCTGTTTCTTACCTTTTGGGTGGCTTGGGCTGATGGGAGTTGATCTGGCTCACCTCTCCTCATGGCCTCATCTCTGTCCCCTCCCACGTGGAGTAAGCTGGGAGGAAGTGGCCAGACGTTACTTACTCCCAGCACTGGCTGTGGCTGACATCGTAACAGGGGGTCTGATCGTGCTATTAAAGGGCAGCAGCATTGACTAGGCTCCCTCACACACACACACAACACTCACATAAATAGAGCCCACGTCTCTAGGGGGGGTCATCCTGCCTGGGGCCCTGAGCAATCTTAATCTGGCTCTGCTGCTATCATTGAAAGAGTGGGGCACTGAATTTTGATATAGGAGATTTAAAATCCAATTTTTTATGATATAGTCAGTCTATGGTCCTTAACATGTTAAAATATATAATTATGTCTTGCTTTGTTTTGTTTTTTACATTTTGTAAAATTGTCTGAAATAATTACAACTGCTAGATGCATAACAATCGTTTGGCCATAACTGTCAGGAGACACAGAGACAGATATCTGCCATTACTGTGAGAGAAGCTCTAAGCAAAACGTGATCGTGCCATTTTACAGTGCTCTAATAATAATAATAAAAAAAAAATCAGACAGTACCCTCTAGTGGTCTAAAGTTATTATGTCAGTTCAATATTTTTTGTTATGATTTTGGTACACATGCTTTTACTGACTGTATAATGGCACTTGGCCTAATAACTTGATCAACAACATGGTAAATTAATAATGTCTAGATCACAATTTTAGCTGAAAGGTACACTCTAGCAGTACAAATACAAACATGTATTTCTAATGCTAAAGTGTTTATCTTCAACACCCTCCCCCACGCCCAATTTAAAAAACAAACAATTTTTTTCCCCCTTATCTATAGTCCCACACAACACTGCTCCCCCGCCTGCTTAGCTCATCAATGACACCAATGACCTCAGTTAATCCAAAGCATTGTGAGGCCACTACGCATGTGTCCCAACCGCCATGCTGTGTCAATCAGCATCTCCTCAAAGAATGTGATGATGCTGAATGACTTTAGTGCAAAGATTGTAGGACCACAACAGGAAGATCCTCAAGAAGTTGTCTGAGTAAGAGCAACAGCATTTTCGTATCTCTAGGAATCAATGTAAACATAGCCCTTCTCAGAAAAGGTAGTGTTTACATTTCAAAGACTACAGGGACAGTCTATTTGCACCAGAACCACTACATTAAGCTGGAGTAGTTCTGGTGTTTAAAAAGGCAGGTTGGAATGCCACCACTTTAATGCATTGTGGATATGAAAAAAAAACAAAAAAACAATCTTGACCTCTGGATATGTGCCTACTATGTTGAGGTCCTGAGAGGTTTTCTTAGGCCAGGAGTGGTAAAATCGCTATACAACTACAAGTCCCATGATGCTTTATGAGAGAGATTCATTGGCATCTCTACTGAACTTCTTCCAAGTGTCAGTTTAACTATCTTATGTTCTTTATGTGGGAATATTTTTTGTGGTATAAAATCGTACCTCATAAAATGTAAGCTCTTTTTTGAGAAATACAAAATGCGTTTATTTAGACATAGCAAAGTTGGACCAGAAGAGTTCTTACTTTGCATTCATAATGAAGCAATACATTTGAAAATATTAAAAGTTGCATATACATATATAAACATAAACCGTTTACGAAATTTTTATATTTTCAAATGAATTGCTATATATATATATATATATTTCCTCCAAATTAAGCCAGATCCTGCAGGAGCCTCTCCAGCCCGCAACCGGTCAGCATGGCGGTCGGGCCCCGCCCCCGACTATTGGAATTTTTTTAGATATCTCTCTCTCTCTATATATATATATATATATATAGAGAGAGAGAGAGAGAGATATCTAAATAAAAAATTTTTTTAGATATCTCTCTCTCTCTCTCTCTCTATATATATATATATAGAGAGAGAGAGAGAGAGAGAGAGTGAGAGAGAGATATCTAAATAAATTCCAATAGTCGGGGGCGGGGCCCGACCGCCATGCTGACCGGTTGCGGGCTGGAGAGGCTCCTGCAGGATCTGGCTTAATTTGGAGGAAAAATCCAAGCTTAAAGCCTGACTCAGAGCTAAGAGACCACCTCTCATGTCCGGGTGGTTGCTGGTGCCACTGTGGTCCCCGAGATCGGGAGTTTTGCAGCCCCAGGGGGAGATGCGAGACTTCTGGGTCTGCGGCCTATGTGGGTGGAAAGCGGGGCGGACGGCCGTCGTCCTGCTTCGGAACCAGGCTGCCACGCAATAGCCCAGTGATATGTATCACGGGCCCCTGCTTCCCCCCCCCATGGACCGGGGGGGATACCCACCGAGCACACCTAGCACCCCACATCCTATGCCTGGGCGCCAAAATGGTGGCGACGCGACTGAAGCTGAGAACAGCATCTGCATCTACCTAAAAACAGCTCTGCCCGCAGGTCAACAAGCAGCATACACGGGCCACGGAGTCCGAACCTGCAGATAAGCGTCGGACCCTCTAAAAAGCCCCTGCTTACCCACTCACGGATCAAGCCTGGTTCCACGGCTGGGCGGGGAGCGGGGAGCCCCCAAAATTGAAACCTCGAGAGCCTGACCAGAAGCAGACACCAAGCGTCAGGGGGATGGAGGAGCAGACAACCGCCAGCAAATGCAGCAGCAGATCTGCTATTGCTTGCCTTACTCACTTGTGAACTGTAATACTTGACATATGTCCTGCTTTCCGCTACCTGCTACCACTCATTACCTATATATTTTTTAAAAGTGCATTTCTCACCTGCCATAATTGCGAAGCGTTGTATTACTGAGCTTATCACTGCTATTGTGGCAGAATAAGCTGATATGTTCACTTATGCATCCAAAAATAAAGAATTTAAAAAAATTCCAATAGTGATTGTATTTCTGATTAATTAATCAATTGCTTTGCTATATAAGTTTGGTTTTATCATATGTATTGTGTGTGATGCATTGATCCTGAGGAAAGCCACGGATGGGGGCTGAAACGTCCATCAGTTTTTAATGGATATACAATAAAGGAGACTTTTTCTATTTAAAAAAAAAAACATGAGTGCAAGCCTCTTACTACTCATATTATATATATATATTTCCGATCAATGTAAGGAAAGTCAAAAATAATCGTAGAAAAAAGCAAGATTTTTTATTAAGATGGCACGTCAGAGTTTCCATGTAAATTACATAATCCCCTCCCCCCCCCACATACATGCAGTAAATTGAGAAAATGTAGCAGAACACTTCGTTGGAGGCAAAATTGTTATAAATAGAAAATTACCGCAGATCATTATTTACCTCTAAACACCCTAGTACTGACTGGGATGAGGGAACAAGGACCGGTCACCTAAAGAAAGATGACAGTTCCCACTTAGAAACTGTTCACTTTATATGAAAGATAAACTGCAACTAAATAGTTCACTCCATTAGAACAGGACATTTTAATTTCTGAAGATTCCATTTTTCTTGATCATCCGTATTTTCAAACTCTGCTTATACTACAGCACCTGTGCATTTATTCCTATGCAATAGTTCCATCTAGTGGACAATATTATTACTGCAGAATACAAGTTTCTGCCATACACTACAATAATATATATTTAGTTACAATTGTTGGTTTGTAATGCCAACCAATTTAGCTGTAATAAAATAAAAGTCAGTATTGATGTTTTTACATTACAGTAACAATAAAAAAAATGTCTGGCTAATCAGAAACAATGAAACAAATGGAATAGAATATAAGCAAAAAAATACAATACCTGATGGATCCATTCAAACTAACATTTGTTTTCATTTTTTTATTTGAATACAATTCAGGCCTATATACAGAAACATGGTCTTAAAGGACCACTACAAGCATCCATACTACATAATCTCCATGAAGTGGTCTGGGTGTAGTAGTCCTGTATTTTTTCATTTTGTCTTGTAAAAACGGCAATGTTTACATTGCAGGGTTAAAAAACCTATTAGTGACCACTAGAGTCACTAATGCCTCAACCCTAAAGCTCCTGTATGAGAATCATTGGATTGGAGAAGAGATAGAGAGAGAGAGAGAGAGAGGTGAAACAGCACCGAGGGACTCAAAGCACTGGAAAAATTGTAAGTAAAAAGCTTTTTTTTTAAACTTTATTTTTACAGTTAAAGAGTGGAGGGGGCTGAATTTAAATATAACTAGGACACTATAGTGTTAGGAATATAGTATGTGTTTGTAATGCTATAGTGTTCCTTTAAATGATCCTAAGAGACCATTTGATGTTTTGGAGAAAATAGATCCATAAATGCATCAATTTGAACACCTGTTATAGAAATACACAGTAGTTATGACATACCTTCCAAGTCTCCCTATTTAGGACGGACAGTGCTTATTTTTGGACCGAATCCCCCGTCCCTATTTTTAGTAATTTTTTAACTCTTTTCTAGGAGCTCCATATTGTTGGTGTGCCTGAGTGTATAACAGAGTTTAACAGCAATAATAATTATACTAATGTGTCTTTAACTGATTACTCCAAGTGCCATGACCACTTCAGAGATTTGAAAGGGTCATGGTGCCTGGATTCTGTTTGTGCAGCTATTGGCTGTGAAACACTGCATATACAGTGCTTAACCCCTCAGTGCTGGATTGTAAACATAGAAACATAGATAGAAACATAGAATGTGACAGCAGATAAGAACCATTCGGCCCATCTAGTCTACCCAATTTTCAAAATACTTTCATTAGTCCCTGGCCTTATCTTATAGTTAGGATAGCCTTATGCTTACCCCACGCATGCTTAAACTCCTTTACTGTGTTAACCTCTACCACTTCAGCTGGAAGGCTATACCGTGCATCCACTATCCTCTCAGTAAAGTAATACTTCCTGATATTATTTTTAAACCTTTGTCCCTCTAATTTAAGACTATGTCCTCTTGTTGTGGTAGTTTTTCTTCTTTTAAATATAGTCTCCTCCTCTACTGTGTTGATTCCCTTTTATGTATTTAAATCTTTCTATCATATCCCCCCTGTCTCGTCTTTCCTCCAAGCTATACATGTTAAGATCCTTTAACTTTTCCTGGTAAGTTTTATCCCGCAATCCATGAACCAGTTTAGTAGCCCTTCTCTGAACTCTTTCTAAGGTATCAATATCCTTCTGAAGATACGGTCTCCAGTACTGTGTACAATAGTCCAAGTGAGGTCTCACCAGTGTTCTGTACAATGGCATGAGCACTTCCTTCTTTCTACTGCTAATATCTCTCCCTATACAACCAAGCATTCTGCTAGCATTTCCTGCTGCTCTATTACATTGTCTGCCTACCTTTAAGTCATCAGGAATAATCACCCCTAAATCCCTTTCCTCATATGTTGAGGTTAGAACTCTATCAAATATTCTGTACTCTGCCCTTGGGTTTTTACGCCCAAGATGCATTATCTTGCACTTATCCACATTAAATGTCAGTTGCCACAATTCTGACCATTTTTCTAATTTACCTAAATCATTTGTCATTTGGCTTATCCCTCCTGGAACATCAACCCTGTTACATATCTTAGTATCATCAGCAAAAAGACATACCTTACCATCAAGACCTTCTGCAATATCACTAATAAAAATATTAAAGAAAATGGGTCCAAGTACAGATCCCTGAGGTACCCCACTGGTGACAAGCCCAAGCTTTGAATATACTCCATTGACTACAACCCTCTGTTGCCTGTCACTCAGCCACTGCCTTACCCATTCAACAATATTGGAATCCAAACTTTAAGATTGCAGTTTATTGATAAGCCTTCTATGTGCAACAGTGTCAAAAGCCTTACTGAAATCTAGGTAAGCAATGTCTACTGCACCACCCTGATCTATAATTTTAGTTACATCTTCGACAGCATCATTGGGACATCATTAGCCAGCTCAGAACAAGAGTTCAGGGCTAGTTAATGTAAAGTTCAATGCATATCGGACATCTGTTGTGGGCATCCAGGACATATTGGCGACAGACAGCCATTGGCAGCACAGCCATCACCAACATGCTGCCTATGTCCTCCCCTCAGGGGACTGCTGATATCATTCTGTGATGGAATGGAGGTAAGTTATAGAAATTTGATTTCATTTTGGCAGGACCAGTACTTTAACCCCTTAAGGACACATGACGGAAATAGTCCGTCATGATTCCCTTTTATTCCAGAAGTTGTGTCCTTAAGGGGTTAAGGTAACCCTTTAAACTACAAAAAACTGACCAGGAATCAGTCTGTGTAAAATAACATACATTGTTCTTATTCTAAATTACATATTGGTTGCACACATTTTTTATAATTTACCTCTAATTACACCCTCACTCACACCCCTAAAATTAAATTGTTCCTCTTTGTCTATGTGAAATGTTGTGAGGTACTGTTTTAAGCCAATGTATTTTACAAACCCCAGGAATGTGTTGATTCCAAAGCAGTGCTACCACTAACAATATTAGCTGTGTTAATATTATTTCATTCACATTTTTTGTGGCCAGCACCTATAAAAACAGCTGTGGTTTAGCTCCTCATGGCAGCACTGGGACTACTCTGTACATTAACCATTTAGGCACTGATGATGTTTGCATTAAATAATAGGTACATGGTAGTGTTTAAATATCACTCATTCTTGATTTAAATGAATCTGCTCTTAAATTCTAGAATTCACCAGCAGAGGTCAGTGTAATTCTGTCACTCTACAGAAAAAACAATTTCCATACAGAACAGCGAAATGTTAGAAGACAAAAAATCATGTTCATCATCACTCACGTTCTAATGTTTAATAACATTAAGTAATGGACAGATGTAGCTGTCTGATAAACATCACCTTGCGGTAGGTAGGCTTATGTACATGGATTTTGATGCCCGACGTTGTAATCTGCTTTTAAAAACACAGCTTAAAAAAAAAGCTACAGGTTTGCTCCAAACAGTTACACCTGCATTAGGAA